ACTGAATTCAAAAATAATCTAAATGATTATAGTAGTGAACTAGTAGGCAAAACAACTAACCAGCCAGAGTACATTTACAGGGATATAAAAATGTGTAATTTAACTGATAACATATTCAACAAATAATGTGGTAGAGGAGTGTATAAAGGTGAATATGCAAATACGTAGACAGAAATTTATAGGCCAAGAGCAATATCTTACCCTTTGAGGGGGGTATTATTTGTTTATTTAAGTGATTATATTCAACTAATTGATAAGACGAGTAAAATAGTTTTTTAGTATTTAGCAGGAATATTTATTTAATACACACAATAAAAATCTCTACTACTATATACTTTACAGAATTGTCCTCACGGTCGCCCCACAATGCGTCACTTAATTAACACTGCCATGCTAATAAATGATGACGACGAGGATAATGAAGACGTCAGAGTTCAACAAGCAGGTAGTCCAAAATCATGTTAAAAAATCAGCGGTTTTCGTGGGAAAACTCTTAAAAAAATATATTTACAAAAATGTAATAAACAAGAAGTATTACTAAAATAACTTTAATTTTAAGATGATTTTAAACACTTATTGTACGGAATATATTGAAACCACTATGGGCCGTTGATAGAATAACTCCAGGCAATTGGGGATGCCAATGCAATTCCTTTATTTCCTTTTGGCCTTGATGTATGAACAAAAGTTGTGGTGGTAATTTTTGAAGATCATCATTATTTTGTGTTTCCATTTCTTGAGCTTCTTGATCAATATCTTTTTCGACAGCCAAATCCCATAGAGCGATTTGATCATCATCTCCACCTGATGCTAAAACTGTGGCATCTCTTGGATTCCATTCGACGGTTGTAATGTGATCGGTATGATGTTTGAAAGTAGCGATGGGCTTCTTAGTTTGGAATTGTCTTAAGTCCCAAATGTGTAGGAAACCATCATCTCCACCACTGGCTATGAATGGCTCAGTACGATTCCATGATATAACATTAACATCGCTCTGATGAGTATTTTCGCAAGTCAGCATGCAGGCCTTCTGTGGTGGTGCTCTGACATCCCAAATGCGTATAGATTTGTCAACAGAGCATGAGGCTATAACACTGCGTTCATTGGGGCTCCATTGCAAATCTTCTACTGATGCAGTGTGACCAACTAAAGGACGTTGATCTACTTTCCATGTTCCATCTTCCAAAGGAGACCAAATGTGAATATCGCGTCTAAAAAAAAAACAGAAAACATATTTTTTACTTTTCAGCAATATGTTGATAGTTTAATAGTTTGTTAGTAGACCAGTTCACATAGCCCATTTTCACCAGAATTAATTTAAAATATAACTTTATATATTTAAGGCCTGAAACAGCCAAACAGATAAACTAGATCAACTAGACTTTAAAAAAATACAAAACGAGTCAAAGTGTCCCCCCTAATCTATACTCTTGTGGGTTTACAAAGATGTATATAAAAATAATTTCTTACTTGCAATCGCCTGTAGCCAAAACACCATCAGCACATGGACTCCAATCAACAGCAAATCCCTCCTGTTGGTGACCACTAAATTTAAACACTGGCTTCACAACTTCGCTAGCTACTTCTCTTTCGTACTGCTTCAGCAGCTGAGTATCTTCAATTGCTTGCAATTGGCGTGATAGATTCCAAATATTTACATGACCCAATTCACTCCAAGAGGCAGCAAATACTGTATTACCAATACGTTTCGAACGTACACGATTAACACAACCTTGATGTTTAATTAAGGCACAAGACATTTGAGGTTTCTTCAATTCATCTTTGTCCGCAATGTCGTCTTGATCGTCATCTAATTCTTCGTCGTCATCGTCCTCTTCATCTTTGTCTCCGCCTTCTTGAGTTTTATGTAAATTACTCATTTTCATAACAATTAAGTTATTGACATGAGTTCTTGCAGCCTGTGTACCAGCCACCATATAGGATGTCAAAGGGAAGCTTTCTCTATTCTCTCCCAACTCGTCGGCAATAACATCGAAACTAAGACAGGGAGCTCCGGTAGAGGCTTGATGTAGCATAACGTATGCTGATTCATCGCATACCAACTCTTCATCGGCTTCCAAGGGCTTACCGGGTAAGTATACTTCTTTTTTGCCTTCTTCCTGTTCGCCATCGCTCTCATTTGCCTCCATATCACTCTCGGCATCCTCTGGAGCAACGACTTCCATATCTAAATCTTCGCTATCCATAGTTTTTTATTTTTTTGTTAAAATTATAAAATTAAACTATAAAATAATAATAAAGATGCTGCTGTCACAAAATACACGTGCGAGTAGAACTTTTTTTTATTAAACAAAAACTACTGAGTTGCCAACTTTTTATAATTTAAAATGTTCATGGAGTACGTAAACAAATATAAAATTTGTGGTAAGGGAAACCTTCAATCTTTCGGCTAATATTATGAAATCCTCATATTATTTTGACATTTTATTTATTTTAATGAAAACAATAGTATTTCTTGAAAAGTTTTAATATTGAAAAATGTATTTTGCACGAATTTTTTGATGGCCAGTGTTATATGGCGTTGCCAAGATGTTAAGTTTTTTTTTTAATTTAGTTTGGCAATACATGTAACATTTGTAAACAAATCAAATTGTGTTTTTGGCGGTTTCCGAAATATTTTTCTTTTTTATAACTATTTTTTACAAAAATAAATGGATGAATTACATGATGACACCTCTTCGGCGATTAGCAAAAACCTTGAAACAAGTTTCAGGGCCCTCGAAGGATTTCTCATCACGACATCGAATGGTCTGAAAGACAAATCTACGGCTTGGCGACAGCAGTCAATTATTGTGAAATCCTTTAATGAAACATTGGCAAATGATCTAATGGAACGTCATTGGGAATATATTATGAATTCCCCCATTGACGACAATCATGAATTGTACAAATTTTTGGATAAGGTATTATCCGTTGAGAACAACAGTGAAATAGAATTTCCCAAACTGGATGACATGGATTTTTCCAATAATTCCAATGCAAACAATGAAATGTTCGAGGAAATATTCACTGAAAATCCAAAACCCATTAATAATAATATAATCAAGTCAGCATTTAAGGAGACATTCAGCAGTACACAAGGATCATCAAGCAAAAGTCGTAATACAATGGAAAATTTCCTACAGGGACAAAACTCAAACGACAACCCCCAGTCATCATTTTCTACAGCTCGTCAGCTTTTAGTTGTGCAAACATTAAAGGTAGAAATTTTGTAATTTTATAAATTAGACTTTTAATGATATTTGAGTTACAGAAACAGTCAAACAGTAGTAGTGCCATAAATCAGCAGCATAATTTAAATAATCAGCCGAAGCCAGATATAGGTTTCAATTTTTCAGCTACTAAGAAATCGTTAGGATCTATGGGTCGTGTGGTCAACGCTACTCGTAAAAGTTTTGTTTCACCAGTACGCAGTACATCGTAAGTACCTGAATTATTATTTATGCAAAATAACACTTATTTCATTGTATAGCACAACAACTGGAGATAAAGATTCAGAATCAAGAAATGGGGAAAACGTGGACTCTGAATTGGCAATGTTACTAACACACCCAGCATTAAAAAATGTAGACATCAAAATGGTGGAACTTATAAATAATGAAATAATACATAAATTTAAACCTGTTGGTATGTAGTTTTTGCTCCAAAATACATACTGCATTTAAAAAATAACTTTTATTTTAGATTGGAATGAGATTGCTGGTTTAGAATATGCAAAATCTATAATAAAGGAAGCCGTGGTATATCCCTTATTACGGCCAGATATATTTACCGGTTTACGTAGACCCCCTAGAGGAATATTGCTTTTCGGACCACCGGGTACGGGAAAAACGTTAATTGGAAAATGTATAGCATCTCAATCCAGTTCAACATTTTTCAGTATTAGTTCGGCTTCATTAACATCTAAATGGATGGGAGAAGGTGAGAAAATGGTTAGAGCTTTATTTGCCGTAGCCGTAGCACGACAACCAGCGGTAGGTTACATCAAAAATTAAAATTTCGATTGTCAGCCTTTATAATTTTTAAATGTATGTATGTTCTTAGGTAATATTTATAGATGAAATTGATTCTTTGCTGTCGCAAAGATCCGAAAATGAAAACGAGGGAACACGACGTCTAAAGGTAACTACTACCATTAGTAGTTTATTAAAAAAAAAATTAATTAGGACAAGTTTACCATTCAATTTTATTACACAAAAATGTGTTCGTTTCCGTTCCAGACAGAATTTCTTGTGCGTCTTGATGGCGCTGCAACATCAGATGATGATCGTGTTTTAATAGTTGGCGCCACCAATAGACCTCAAGAATTAGATGAAGCTGTCAGACGACGCTTTGTAAAACGTCTTTATGTTCCTCTGCCAGAAACAGATGCTCGAGCTGAAATTTTAACAAATCTTCTAAGGACAGTTGAAAACAATTTAAATTCAAATGATGTTAAAACAATAGCACAATTGGCAGATGGTTACTCTGGTGCTGATATGGACAGTTTGTGCCGTGAAGCGTCGATGGAACCATTAAGATCGTTACCAGCTGAAAGTATTATTACATTCCGTAAGGAGCATGTAAGTCTTAAGGATATTAATTTTGGTTTTTTTATATATTTTTTAAATATTTATATTTACATGATTTTTAGCTGCGTCCAGTGGAAAAGGAGGATTTTTACACAGCTCTTAAAAAGATCCGACCTAGTGTGTCTCAAAGTGATCTTAATCAGTATGTCGAATGGAATAAAACATATGGCTCAAGTTATTAACCGAGTAATTACTCGAGTATAATATGGTTATATTATAAAATGCCATGTTTCGAAAACACTTCGTTAATATAGAACTGAATAAAATTGAATGCCGATTATAAGGAATAGTTTGCGATTCAAAAATACTGGCAGACAAATGCACTCTGATTCATAGAAACATTTATTTTACATTTCACATTTTCAAAAAAAATTATTAAAAAAATTTATATTTAATCATAAAAAGTTGTTTCTTTATTTGGCTGCATTTATTTATTATATACAAAAATACTTGCCTAATTTCAGTGTTAAAGTTAATTCTAATTTTAAGTGATTTCTAAGTTTTAATTATAATATTGTACACATTTTTTATTACAATTTCCGAATACTCGCGTTCTTTTTGAATATATATGTATATTAAATTAATATTATTAATTAATAAATATTTCATTAGATTTTCGTTATTTCTAAAATGAAAAAGTGAAAATAAAAATATTTAAAATATCTAAGAATATCTAAAAATGAAAATCATTGAAACAGCTTTTTAAAAAGTGAATTAAATGGAAAACAAATACAGGCGAGATCTCGAAATCTTCATTGAAAAACAACTAGTTTAAAACATTACTACGATTATAAATTAAAAAATTTAAACGAAACGGAACTATATTCCTTTCATATATCTAAAATTACAGCAGTATAGAAAAAAGTCCAAATCATTTTAATAGATACAAAAAAATAACAAAAATATTTTAGAAGAATTAAAAATTCTAAAATCTTGGAGATTTGATGCTTTTGGATATGAGTGATAGTGGTGATGAGGTGAATAGAGGAATCCATTTTGACTCAATTGCCTAGCACATGAATATCTTCATCCTGTTCTTTTTCGCGTTGACGCACTGCCACCGCTGTTTCCACCAACAGATACAAACATTTAAATTTATCTTTTGCGATAGCTAGAATGAAAACAAACTGTTCAAAAAATAAAAACAGCAAATGAAAAGTTGTGTACCTTTTACTAAATGTGTGCTGGGTGGTATGATTTGTACACTAGAGGTAATTGTGTTATTGTTGATGCTGTTAGGAAGGGCGTTGTTACTATTGTTAAGCAAGCTGCTGTTATTCTTGGCAGCCATTAAATGTCCTCCTGCACCGGGAGTATGTGAAGTAACAACAGTCGCTTCGGCTCCAACACATGCTGACTCAGTAACGACTTCACCAGTGGATAAAACAATATTGGCAGATTGATGGGAGACTGCAGAAATACCAGTGTTACCTAAGAATCAAAAAATTACTCTGACATTCCTACAGTGAATTTTATTTTATTTACGCTTACCTGCGGCTTGTGTAGTTAGTGTGCTTTCATTTGTGGTTTGTTGGGGCAGATGTGACAAATGCGGATGCGGCGCAGATGTCCAATATGTGTTATTTGTAGCAGTAGGACTAGTGGTCGTCACTTCCTCGGTACTGAAAACAGTCCCGTAAAAATAAATGTTGTATAAACGAAAATTTGGTGTTTTGTTTTTATTTGTTTGCAGTAAATTGTATATACAAGTATGTTTACGTATTTGTTTGTGGAGGTGGTAGTGTTGGGAATATTCAAATATAGTAGTAGAATTTAGAATACAAAACAAAAACATATACCAATTTTTTTAACGATGTATAATACATTTTTAGAAAAAATAAAACGAAAAAGAAACCAAAAAGAAAAAAACAAGATTTTTTAAAGAAGTAAAAAGGATTTCGAAATTGCAGTTAACAGGATAGAAATTATTTATAGGACTATGGATATTAAAATACTTACTTCATTACCGATTGCCATGCATCAGAACTTTCGAATTTACCAGTGTTTTCCTCTTCGCTTTGAGCTTCACAGGTATCATACTCATTGACACTATCATCTTCAGATCTAAAGTCGACAAAAGTACAAAGAATTTGAAATTAATAAAAATACCTCCTTGGAGATTAAGTATTCAAAAATTCAGAAAGATAAAATTCTTTTGGCCCACCTCACAACTTCTTGAAATACATTTTTGCTAGATATATTATTGTTATTTTGTATATGAAATATTTGATTTAAGGTATGAGAATAAAAATAATTAGAGTTGGCGGAATATTGCGAGTTTGTGGGATTGTTACTATTTAAGCTGGTTGTAGCAGAATTTGAATAACTTTTGGAGTATTCGTATTTAGCAACAGTCTCTGCGGCATATTGACGTTGTTTGGCAGCTTGAATCTTTTCTAAAATTTTGGCTTGAATTTGAGGATGTAAGTTTTGAAAGCCTTGGGGATTAGATATAATTGCTTGTTGCCATCTTAGGTGGGTTTATAATGCGAATAGACTTAAATATTTCAATGGGAAATTATGTGAAAAACAAAGATTACCTGTATATAACACTGTCGTCATATTCCATATCCGGTTCAACCTTAACCATTTGTCCACCCGGCGTTTGCACAAAATGTCCCAAGGCTGTCAATACGTTGGCCACACCATCATGCACTTCTTCACCTTCAACCTCCTCGGTGGCTCCTACAATCTGTTATACATTTTTATTAGAATTTAATTTTCTACGCAAATTTTATAGAAGGTTGGTTACAGCGATTTTTTTATAAAATTTTTAATAGAAATTACAAATATTTAAGTTAAAAACACAGAAAATTATAAGTACTATAAACGCTTGAAAGCAATAAGTAATTTAGGTTTCCAATTTATACGAATAAATTTGCTGTTTATATACAAGTTGTAACCAATCATATTACAGTAAACAATATACTTACCACTTCTGAAGCCGGACTACCAGTTATAGGATTTGGTGCGTTTCCTGAATTGTTTAAACTGCCCGTTGAGTTCATGGAAGAATTTAGTTTCTTACCTCTACGAGATATAGTAAAGTGCAATGGGTCTTGACCTTCACGTCTAATCATTTCTGGCAGTATACGGCGACGAGCATTAATGAACCAATTGCATACCTTTAAAAGAATTCCAACTTATTTTAGTTTTTTATTCTTATTATAAATATGTACATTATACCGACTTCCATTGGTTTAATATATTTCTCAAATAAAATAAATTTTACCCATAAAATCTGTACAAGTCAGTATTATGTATAGAAAGACAATTAACGCACCTGCAGCACTGTTAAATTTGCCTCCTGTGATAGAGTAAATTTCTCAGCATCACTGGGATAGGCATTATAACGATGTTCATACAACCAACGTTTGAGTATTTTTACTGAATGTTTCGGCAGGTTGCCTCTTCTTTTTCTGGGAAGACCACCATCTTGTGAGTCTATAACCATATCTTTGTAATCCTTAGTATCATGCATATCAGACATATCATGTTCGGAAATGTCCTCTTCGACTATAGTTTCATGGTGATCGTCTTCCTCCACAACGCCCAATACAGTAACACCACCGTCATGTTCAATATCTTCATGAGTATCATCGTCAACGCTAGAGGTGGACTGAAATCGATCCCGTGCTAATTTTGCAATGAAAATTGTTTCATTATTTATTTATTCGATCTAATCAGATTATTATTTATGTATATTTATTTATTTGCAAATGACATTTCTGAAAGAAAACACAACCAAAAACAAACGCATGCACACACAATCACCCCTGTGTGTACAAATTGGTATGTATACGTCAAATTATGTAATTTGACGTATAGTTGGTTGGAAAAACGAAAAAAATATGGCAGGCAAATGACGGACGTTGCCGTCCGTCAGTGCGACAGCTTGGAGAAAAGTCATTTTTGCAAAATAAACACAAAAACTAATAATAACAAAACACAACTTACCTTCGTGTGCTATAATTTGTGCTTGAATTTGAGCTTCTTGAGCCATATCTTGTATATCCTGACGAATTTGTCGGTCCAGGGCAGAGTTAACCTCTTCCTGGTGATGCAAAGTATCGGGCGATAACATTTTTCTGATTAATATTGATTTTACCCCGGGATACGCGTACTTTTTATTTTTTCAATGGTCAAACAAAACTGAACATTTAGCTAGTAGTATGTAAATTCTTTAAATTTATCAACGGTGGCAGTGAGTGGTAATGGAAATCACGCACAAAACAATTTTTTAGAATAATCTATTTTACTTCTTCGTATATAAAGTTTCCATTTATTACAATTGTTTTTTTATATGTAATTTTTTTTATATTTTTGGTACATTTTTAATACGTTTGGTGAAGTGAAATATTTTCGTTTTTTTTTTTTTGTTCCTCTTCGAAATTATTTTATATATTTTTTTGTATGTCTGTCTTTTTACGACGCCTACTTCACCGCGCTTGCTGTGATTTGCTTTGCGCTGTATCGATTGTCAGTATTTTTTCTGAAAGAACTTCTTATTTTCACTTTGACTGCTGGCCTACTTTATTAATTTATTTTTTCCCAGTAATAATTTTTTGTTTATATTTTTCTGTTTTAATAATTTGGCTAAGTAATTTGCGCCAATATTTTGACAGACGTATTGTCAATTTTTTTGTTAGTTGATTAATAAACTTCAAAATTTTTATTTTGACTTTCTAGACAAACTTCAAAACTGTCGAATGAAAAAAAAATCCAGTTGTATTTGATGACAGCTGCTGTCACACGAAAGTTGCTCGTTTTGTGGCAGAAAAAAAAGAAAATGGCGTCAGCAATCATGGCAAACAGAGATGCCACATTGAAAAACAATAGATAATTAAAATCAAAAAAATATTTTAAATTACAGTTTAATCGAAGTATATGTAATGAAATTTGTTCACAAACAAAGTACTCCACTTATAAAGTATTATTTTTTAAATTTAACCATAATTTTAAATAAAAATGTAATTTTATAACTTATAGAGCCATCTATGTGTCAAGTGCAAAAACTATAAAAATAATGAGAATATGCGAAAAATATAATAAATTCAACACATACTAATAAAATAACATTCAATACGGCAAGTATTAAACTTGTATTTTTGAAATTTGTTTATTAAAAGCACAAATTTTCATTAAAATTGTTAACAAAGAACCTGTCGTAGTCTTTTAGTATCTATTTGATATGGCAGCATTAATAAGCAACAACAACAATTGAATAAAAGAACCCAGCTAGTTCAACAGGTTCTCAGAGTTGCCAGTAACCAACAAGTGTTTCGAACAACGTAACAACACCCACAATATCCACGACGCAAAATTTACTAAAACGTCAATAAAACATGGAAATATTATAGTAGAAATAGTTGTGTGTATCCTATAAGAACAAGTGCGTCAACAGTGATTTGAATTGAAATAAAATTACGGGACATTGAAAGTGAAATATTGGTGAAAAATTTAAAAGAAATGTTTTATTAATCCATCTGAGGAGGTTGAAAGCCCCATCACTTCCAATGGATTGCATAATTTGGCAACTCTAAAACCAATAAAAATACCAATACACTGAACTTCTGAAGTGTTGGGTAGTCAAAATAAGAAATCCAAATATAAACTTGTTGTGAGCGAGAATTTATTTGTTCGTTCGTTTGTTGGTTGCTTGATGGATTTTCTTTTTGTTTTTCATTTCCTATTTTAATAATATTAATTGTGTATAAGAAGAAAAGATAGAAAATATCGCTGCATTTCTGTTCGGTTCTGTTTTGTTGTGAATAAAAAGTGTTTTAAAATATCGTTGAACGATTTTTACAATTGGAAATGATGTTCCAGCCATCATTTTGACGTAATTAACACGAAGAGTATACACAATTTTTTTTTATTCATTTACGATACTTCGACCTGTTTTTTCTTCTTGTATAAATACACACAAGAATGTCGTTGAGTAAGTCCAGCGCGAGTGACGACGCGAGCAAATGCAGCGTTAAGACGGATGACTCGACGTCGGCTGCGTCGAAATCGTCGAATAATTTGGTGGTTCATAATTATCAGAATTCGGATGAAAATTTACAAATTTTATTCGACAGTGTTTTAAATCCGAGTGAATCGAAACGTCCATTACAAGTGCCTTTACGTATGCGGAAGTTGCCAAATTCATTTTTTACTCCGCCAGCTGCAAGTCCCAAATCACCGACAGTATCACATTCTCGAGCCAATAGTGTGGACTCGGCGTACGATTGTGGTTCTCAGCCAAATATAAATCAAACATCAGTAGCAACGTCGCTATCAGACTTACAGACTGCCGCCGCTGCAGCAGCAGCGCAGGCATCAGTACAACAGCAGCCCGCAACGACGATTAATGCTCAACAACCGCCACCACCACCAGCAGCCGCCGGCGGCGCTCAGGCTGACCAACCACGTTTACAAATCTGTCACTCTCGTGCCCATAGTAGTCCTGCTTCACTGCAGCAAACATATAATATACATGGTGGCAATATAGGCGACGACTCGACTGCTGCCTCATTTCTGCAACAACAGCAAAATGCTGCTGGCGAAGTTTCGAACGGTGGAGGTGGTGGTGGCAATTCTGGTCCAGGATTTCCCGGTACATTGCTAAGTTACAATGCTGCCGCAGCAGCTGCTGCTGCTGCCGCTGCTGCTGGGATAAATAGCAATAATATATTAGCTTTGGGAGGTACTGGCGGCGGAGCCCCGTATCATATGAAACAACGTTCATACGACGTTATCAGTCCAATTCAGTTGCAAAATGAATTAGGTCCTCTTCCTCCTGGTTGGGAGCAAGCCAAGACCAATGATGGCCAGATATACTATTTAAAGTAAGTATTATTCTGCTATTTATATTATTATTTAATCACCAAAACATATCCATTAAGTATTTATACATACAAAGTAAATAGTTTTATTCATAATGTTTCTATTGCTAACAATTTAAATGTTTAATCCATTTTTATCCATGCTGCTGAATATTGTTCTTGTGATAATCAAGAATAAAATTTTTCCGATGTAGTTAAGAGGTAAATAAATGTTGGTAATTTCCTTTAGATTGTTTTGCTTTTTGTTATTATTATTTTCATATTGGATTTTTGTACATAAACACTTACTGGATTAGTTATCCATGTATTCATAGTATGTTCAAAATCCAATTGCGTTACCATATATTTATGTACATACATACATATGTATTTTATTTACATAAATATGTACATATGTATTCTTTAAAGCGGAAGTAGATTACAAACTTGTGTTTATAAATTCATTTTTTTTGTTTTACTTTGTTGCACCTTATTCGTAATATACCAAATGCATTTAAAGTTTGGAAACAAAAATGTTTATAGAGCTTCATTATTTTTATGAAGTATCAATAACATGATCCCGTAATCGCCAAATTTGCAAGTTTTTTCAGTAAGTCGTTCACTATTTTTGTTGTTTTTCTGATTAGTTCAGACTATTTCTATATAAAATCTGCAAAACTAATGATTGCCTTAGTATTAGTTATGATTGTTTAAAGTTATCCAAAGAAACAGTATTTTATACACATTTGTTTGAAAATTCTACGAATCTTTTATCCTTACTCATAATAAAACAATAATCTATGGTTGTATCATGTCCTTACTTATAATTTTTATAATCATTTGTGTTTTCCTGAAACGTATTCAACAATTTGTCTCTGTCTGATTGGATTTTTATACTTTTTTTGGCAAATTTGTTATTTTTATTTTAAGAAATTTTATTACATATTTTGTTCTGGTTACAACATCTGATTAGATATCAGTCTATAATAGTTTTGGTTTATAGTTTTTTGGTTGGTTTTTAATGGTACAAATTTTGTTACTGAATTTTCGAACAGTTCCCGTGGCCCTATTTGATTGAAATTTGGCACACATAAAGACACCTGATGACAATGCAAATTTATGTTGGAAAAATTTAAATTAAATTAAATAATTCGGAATTTTTAAATCACTTCCTGTAGCCCAAATATGCTGAAATTTGGAATACATGTAGACATCTAATAACAATATAATGTTAATGTTCGTATTTTCAAAATTTCATTCGAAAATTTGAAGTGAGATTATCTTTTCAAACATAAGTTCAAGAATGCTTTAAGAACTCTCATAATTTTGAGTAAACGGTGTAACAGGATTAAAAATAGACGAGTAAATTGAGCTTTTATTTTATTTATTAATTCTTACCATTTTAATTTCTTTTTCTAAAAAATTTTACTTTTTCTTCATCATTAATATTGAACATAGTGTTGATTTTAAATTCGCTTAATATACTTTTATATTAATACTAAAATATTTATACTTTTTAGTCACACTACAAAAACCACACAATGGGAAGACCCTAGAATACAATTTAAACAACAGCAAGCATTAAATGCAGCTGGTAAGTGTGTTATATGAAGAAATCTTTTTAATGTCACAGTATGTAATTTTTAACACTTCTCTTCTTAATACAAAAGCAAATGCTAGATTAAACAATAAAACAGCGACTGCTGCAGGTGTATTAAATGGCGATTTGGGCCCATTGCCAGAGGGATGGGAACAAGCCTTAACAGAAACTGGTGAAGTTTATTTCATTAACCATATTGATCGTACAACGTCATGGAATGATCCACGAATTCGTAAGCATATTACATATCACAGGATGGATATATGACATAAATCAATGGCCCATAATATAAAACTAATAATTTTATTCGATTTTTATTCTTCTAGCACTTTTATTTCAAAAAGAAATAAAAGCAAAAACTGAAATGAGTTGGGTAAATGCAACTGAAATTGACAAAGATTCAGACATATTTAAGCAAAAAGCAGGACAGGTGAGTATTATACGTTTAATGATTTATATAATTTATTTATGAATTTTCTAAATTCCTTACGCATAGAAGTCTCTAAACAAACACAATGTTAGCTTACATATGGATCCGTTTCTTTCCGGTGATAACCACGCTCGACAAGAATCGAGTGATAGTGGCTTAAGTTTATCATCAAATTCATTTGCAGTCAATCCAGATTTTATAACCCATATGGATACTAGCATGGACTGTATAAGTGGTGAGTTGAAATTAAAACATTTTGAAGAAATTTATATTTATCTATACTCGTCCATGTTTTTCAGAAAATGGCAGCATTATAGATAATTTGGACACAACATTACAGCTAAATGATAACATTTGCATGTTAAACGATGTGCTCAATTCGCCTTCGAATAAGCCAGATAATTTGGAATGGTATAAATTAAATTAATTTATTTTTTATTATATCATCGAAGATATATATAATTAAAATAAGCAAAGCGCGCATATAACTATTATTTCAACATTTTTTTATGTTTATTAAAAAGCTAAAAAGTAAAAGTATTTCCATTTATCATAGATTTAATTATGTTTATTTTTTGCAAGCAAAAAATTATCCGATTCAATCAATCAAATTGTAAAAGATGTTTTCAATTTTTTTTCTTTTAAAAACAATAATAATTTTAAAAAATAATTTAAACACAAGGACAGCTTAAATAAATAAATCCATATTTTCTATAAAAAAGGAAAAAATAAAGAATGTTTTCTCTGCTGTGGTGATAAGGTTTAAGAATTATCAGTATTAAAAATTTACAATCAACGCAATATCAATAGTACTTGGAAAAAATTTTTTTAATATATTTCGAATGTTATTTGTATATACATACATACATATTCAATACCAAATACCTTTCATTTGATATACATCTTGTCTGGAAAAAGAACCATGATTAATAAAAAGAGAGAAAATTAAAAAATAAAAAGTTATTTGAAAATTAAATTGAAACTTTTAGAAAAATTAAAGAAGATGATATACAATTGTGAAGGTTATGTTAGATTCGGTATAGCTGAACTTACATTTGATCGTTTTCGTGGTAAAGTCGACAAAAATATAGATAAGTCGATTATCCTGCCGAAAAGTCGATTTAAAAAAAATCTACTTTTCGTAAATTCCAAAATGTAAAATTTTTATAAATTGCAGTTTGTTTTTGAAAAAAAAAATGTTTGACTTTCAAACCAAAGTTTGTATTTTTTTACAATATTAGCGTAGAGGGGAAATTGTTAATGGATGTTCTAACTACGCCCCACCGTAAAAAAAAATATATTTTTCTTATATCGATTTTTCCGACATTATTCGAGTCGACTTTTTTACATTGTTGGGGCAAAGACTTTCGACTCGTTTGGTACACAACTTTTTAATAATCTTAACCGTTATGTCAATACCCACATATTCGGGTATGTTTTTCATTTTCAAAGTGATATATCTCGAGATCTATATATCGTATCGACTTGAAATTTGAAGTATTTTTACAGAGTAATGTTTTCTATAAAATTTCCAAAAACTAGTAATATAGACATATATTTTCTAAGCCGATTTATGACTGATTTTCTACCTTTACCTCTTACATCAATACCCGGGTATGCATAAAAGTATATGTCAGTTATCGGACAAAAATTAAGTTACACTATAAATTTTGAATTTTATTATCTGAATTATATATATTATTATATCTTATGTCATTGTTCATACATTTGAATGTGAAATCTGTTTTGGGCCCTGTAACATATACAAATATGAACCGATTTTGATGAATTAAATTTTTTTCATTGCATATGACTTAGTAAAGTTAAATTATGCTAATTGTAGTAATTTCAATAATAAATAAACAAAATATTAAAGTCTGAATTTTCAAATTTTAATTTTTGACCCTGACTTAACAATCTTGTTTTGCAAATAAATTCTCTACTAACGAAAAAAAAAACAATTTATTTAGTCCTAATCGATACGATATTGTTGTTAAAACTTAGAAAACTTAAAAAATGGCTAAAATTTAATGGAATGTGGTCAAAAAATATTTAATTTATTTTTACAGACATTTTATTAAATTAGTTTTAATAATTATAAAAATTATACACTAGCCCCCGTATTCATAAAGATACTAATCGTTTACATTTTCCATACAAAATTCCTACAATAAACCATAAACAACTTTATTAAGCGTTTATAAATATGGCGGTAGAAATGTAAAAAAGGATGAAGCAGCCATATAAATTGTATGACATACCCGGATATTGATGTACGTAATTTTGCTTGGGTATAGACAAGACGGTTAACAAAAGGTCGACTTTCTTCAGTAATTCGCTATTTTATCATAAAAAAGTCGACTTATTTTAAATTAGTTTAAATAATCCCAACACTGGTAAGTATAGTTTGTACATTTTGTACAATAAAAAGGGTTCGTGGTGTATCATCACTGATGCTCACATTTGACAGTTCGTTTCTATCATTTTGACACCGGCTAGTATCTGTTGTTTTTTGTGTTTACAATACAATTGATAATTCTTTTTCCAAAAAACAAAAATATATTAAACAAATAATAAAACATGGATATGATATTAGCAAATGTTAATAATATCTACTTTAAAGTAGAAAAAGATCTAACAGAACAAGTGGGTGCCATATCATTGCCATTTTTTGGCATGGACAGTAAGTAACCAGAAGCTAACCAGGAAAATAAATAAACATGTACTTCACTCATTTCAGAGTCGGTGGCAGCAGTTTGTCAATTTCTAAACTCTAAGAATGGAGTGGAATGTAGCAAAGGAGTGATGTGTCCATTTCGACATATACGGGGAGATCGAACTATAGTCTGTAAGCATTGGTTGCGTGGCCTATGCAAGAAAGGAGACCAATGTGAATTTTTACATGAATTCGATATGAAAAAGATGCCCGAGTGTTATTTTTACTCTCGTTTTAATGCATGTCATAACAAGGAATGTCCCTTTTTGCATATCGACCCTGAAAGTAAAATTAAGGACTGTCCCTGGTACGACCGAGGATTTTGTCGCCATGGTCCTCACTGTCGTCATCGTCACGTAAGAAGAGTTTTGTGTATGAATTATTTGGCCGGCTTCTGTCCAAACGGTTGGAACTGTAAACATATGCACCCACGTTTTGAGCTACCCCCAAGTGCTGACCTAAGCAAGGAAACGTTCCAGAAGAAAATACCTACATGCCATTTTTGTGGAGAATTTGGACATAAGGCATCCGTATGTAAAAAGAATCCCGAAAGTAATGCAGACCAAATACCAACGAAGCCGGCATCTAATGCTCGTTATCAGAATTATTGTGGTCCGAATAATTCGGGTCAACCAAATAATCAACATAAAGATACCCAAGAAAATCTTAGCAATGATGCTGGCAATGAAGAAAATTCCGAGACAACTTCAAGTACTAATACTACTAATAGCAATGGGCCACCATACCCTAAGGTATCTAAACCATTAGATGAAATCACCTGTTACAAATGCGGTAACAAAGGACATTATGCTAATAAATGTCCTAAAGGCCACTTAGCTTTTCTTTCTAATCATCGTAGCCACAAATGATAAATTGTGTCGTCCACTTAATACATGTATATGTTTTCTTTAATTTAAGGTTATAATTTTTCAAGTTGTATTATCGTAATAAAACATTGTAAAAATAATTTACAGAATTGTGATTTTTGATTCTTTGGTATTGAAATCAACGAGACAAATTGGTTATAAGGTGATGACAAAAATACAATATGTACAAAATCAAAAGGCAATTTGTTTTTTGAACATACATATGCATTTGAAGTATCAAAATTTCTTTGTTAAATTTCGTATAAGTTTTGGTGAAGTGTGCATAAAATTCGAACAGGTTCATTCAAAGCAAATTAACATAAGGTGGTGGCAGTTCCGCATCAAGAAAATTACCATGTATCTATGTACTTTGTTATTACATTTTGTACTTACAGATGTCAAAAACAGCTACATACTATAAAAAGAAATAATTTTGTCGAATTCTTCTATGTAGAATAAAAAATACTTGAAAATACTTGCCGTGGTTTCCGGCCTTTCGTTAAAAGTATAAAATGTTCCGGAATAGAATTTTAATGAACATTTTTAAAAATAATAAGAAACTTCGACAGTTGACAGTGCGAGTCAAGTGAAAAAAATGTCAGCTGACTAAATAACACCACCTTATATAAATTCACCTTCATGTCATCTGTGTTTGAGAATAGAAAGAAAGCATTGTTGCAGCAGAAGTTCTAATTTACAAGAAGAAATACATTTAATTGAATTAGTTTTAATAAGAAAAGCAGAAAAATGATTTAATTTGGAACCATTTGTTAAAAAATAAAAAAAAAACTAATTAATTATTCAAATAAAAAATTCGAATTGAAACGTTTTAAACAAAAATCGATACGATATTACAGTATTTATAGGTAAAGTTTTGTGTTCGTGTTTTTTTGTTTATGAATTATTAAACGCTTTATAACAACAATATAGTATAAATTAAAAAAAAAAAAATGAATATCCATCCACCAAGGGGTACACTAGCCAGAGCTATATACGCAAAGTTTCACAATGATTTTTATTTGGACAAATACGACACTCGATTGGTATGTATTCTGATGTGGGCCAAACCTTTCTTATCACTTTGTTATTCTTTTATGAGATGGGTAATTATTTATTTTTTGTTATATTTACATGCAGTGGTATAGTATTAACACAGACCATCCATTTGCTTATCATAGCTCATTTGTGCCCTTAGAGGAACCTGATGATATTACTTTACAATGGTTGGAGAAAGCTAAAGATAGTTCTACTAACATATGGTTACACTTGTGGCATGCTTTTGCACGTATTGCTCTACAACTATTTATGACTCAAACGGATATTAATGGTTTTTTGAAAAGAGGTTCAATGTTTATTTTATCGGAACAACAGTTTGCTCTACTGTTAAAGGAGGGTGGCTTCGATAGTGGACGACACGAGAGGGTGAGTTAGTACAATATCAGAATAAAAATAAATATAAATAATTTTCCTTGTTCTACTGTATTTCAGGTAAGATTTGTTGATATTGGAGCGGGTGATGGTGAAATATCGGCAGTTCTACTCAAAGCTCTTAAAATTTCAAATGCTGATGTCATAGTAGATCCTTTTGCTACAGAAGCTAGTTGGACAATGCGCGAACGCTTAAAGAAACGTAACTTTAGTGTGTTGGAGCGTTTAGATGAACTAAACAATGTTCAATTGGTGTCTTGTTTAAATGTTTTGGACCGCTGTATCGATCCCATTCAACTACTCGAAGACATACATACGATTTTAGCTCCGAATGGACGTGCTATTATAGCTTTAGTACTACCTTACATGCACTATGTGGAATGCAATTCATCGCATATGCCTATACGTCCTTTAATGTCACATTGGCCTGATAAAGCCAAACAATATTCCTTTGAATCGGAGGCAGCCATATTCTTTCGAGTTTTGGAAAATATAGGCTTTCAGGTGGAAGCCTGGACAAAAGCTCCCTATTTGTGTGAAGGCGACCTAAGACAATCATATTATTGGTTAATCGATTTAGTAGTAGTGGTCTCAAAAAAGTCCTAGCTACATTTTTAAAAGCAACTGAGTGTGTGTACTAAACAAATTTAACGCACAACCTAAACAAACCTAAATACATACAACAAGTAAAACAAATCTACTTTATTTCTATATATAGATACTACTACTCTAATTATTATTAAATATAAAGTTAGTTATATTTTTATCTTTATTATTTGATATTCTTATATTGAATGGCATTTAAATGTTACTTAACTGAATTTACATACACATGCAAAGATAATGATAAAAAAAAATTAAATCCTATATAAATGCGTTTATATATACAAACATTCAAACATATATCACAAAGAGCCTTTGCTATCTACATATTTAAATAAATCTAAAAAATGTTATTGCCAAAATCTACATGATAAGGAAAAGAAAAACCAAATCATTTTTAGAGTTGCTAAATGTTAACGAAAAATATTGTTTTCTATAAAAGGGTGCTACAAAACTGTCTACTTAAAAACTTAATGAATTAAATACATAGGGTAATAAACTGTATAAATGACAAAAAAAATCGTTTGTAATGAATGCTAATAAGCTTTTTAAAAGGTAAGGTGTTTTGGTATTTCGCTGCATTCGTCCTGCCGAGTCGAATATTAAAAGCATTTAATTCCAAGAATTAATTCTTATAGCTTTTCATTAAGTTGAATTAATTCCTGTGGTATGTTAATTCGATCTGTTATAAATTGAACTAAATTATTTTCAACCATTTCCATAGAAAGAATTTGAATTCTTTATGAATTATAAAAATTTAGTTTGAATTCAATCTAATGGGAATTTAATTATAATCTTTTATTTAAATTTTTAAATATTAATGCTTTTAAATGAATATGAAAATATGATTTGTACTATAACTTCAAAATCCTTTTTAAATTTTCCTTTACAAGAAAACATCCAAAAGATTTGATTCCCGGAGATAGCAGAGTGATAGATATATATTTAGATATTGCACATAAGAAAAAGTGCTAAAAGCTGACTATGAAAAAATATTGGCAGAACATTTTTTTCAAAGTTGTTCCAAATGTCTTTCTTGCAAACCAGAGCGCAGATAGCTAATACCATTTTATGTGATACAAAAAAAGTTAAATTTTAATGTTTTCAAATTGTCTTTTAATTCGATTTTCATTTAAATTATATAGAAATCTAAAGATTTCAAATTTAAACATCAGATAAAAACTTTAACCGACAGTCCGGTAACTTCATTTTAGACTTTACAAAATACAACACTGTATTAACCAAGATTGACAATCATAAAATTGTCAATCTTTATGTCAAAAATGAAACGATTGATGCTTGAAACGGAAATGCTTGAAAGTGACACTCGTTGAAGTCTTTTTGTTTTCGGGTTTTCAGGAGGTGTGTAGTATTTATGCACATGCTGTAAATTTTTTATAAAAATTTATTAATTTTTAATTGTAAAAATTTTAGGTTAACACAATGCCGCCAAAGTTTGATCCTACTGAAGTTAAATTGGGTAAATTTAAGTGAAAATAAGTGATTTTGTGAACAAGTGATTAATTTTGTTTAATTTTTCTTTAGTTTACTTGCGCTGTGTTGGCGGTGAGGTTGGTGCCACTTCTTCTTTGGCCCCTAAAATCGGTCCATTGGGTTTGGTAAGTGTCATGTTAAATTAATGGATGTAAAGAAAAAGTATTGACGTTTTTTTTAATTTGTGTGTGCATTTTGTTTAGTCTCCCAAAAAAGTTGGTGATGACATTGCCAAGGCCACCTCTGACTGGAAAGGTTTGAAAATCACTGTATGCTTGACCATCCAAAACAGACAAGCCACCATCTCAGTTGTTCCCTCAGCTGCCTCTTTGATCATTAAGGCTTTGAAAGAACCCCCACGCGATAGAAAGAAGCAAAAGAACAGTGAGTATTTTTATTTACAATCAAACAAATATGTATACATTTGTTATTATGTGCAATATGTATATACATAGTATGTGCAATACATAAAACTAATTTATTACTTTTTTTGTCTTTTTATTTTCTAGTCAAACACTCTGGTAACATTACCTTTGATGATGTTCTCTCTATTGCCCGCACCATGAGACCCAGATCTATGGCTCGTACATTGTCTGGCACCTGCAAAGAAATCTTGGGTACTGCCCAAAGTGTAGGCTGCACCGTTGACGGTCGTCCCCCACATGATATCATTGACGAAATCAATGATGGCTCCTTTGAAGTTCCATCCGAATAAATAGTAATAAACAATTCTACTAGTTTTATATGAAAATTATAAAGGAAATGGACTTAACAATTAAAAGTTTATTGATTTTATAAGATGGAAAATAATGTTTTTCATTTATATGGCTAAATAATTGAGTCTAAATGGGCTTTAGGGTCTTGGTGGTCCACACACACAAATGCTTAACTCTGTTCAAGATATTGGTTACAGAATAATACGACTGAAAATCAAAGAAGTATACCGCAAAATTATAAATCAGCAAGTACAGTATCAAATCTTGATTCGGAAATTCTTTTTATACCCTACACCACTTTAGTGGGGAGGGTATATTGGATTTGTGCTGATGTTTGTTACTTCAGAAAATTACTTGAATGTCCCAAATTAACTTATAAACACAAATATCGCGATGAAATTCAGCACAATAAAATATTATGTAAATATAAATATATTCGCAAAATTTTATCGGGCTTGGTCCATATTTGCCCCTAGCCCCCATATAAAGCCTCTTTCAGAAAATTAGTTTTTCATCCATAAATTGCTTAAATGTATCGGAAGATAAATGCTTTATTATGAAAAATAAATCACATTTAATATTCATAACTGGTGTAGGGTATCATATGGTCGGCCACGCCCGACTATACTTTCTTACTTGTTTGATATTAAAACGAATTTGATAAAATATAGCTTAGAAGTATTTCGAAACTTGTAACGAAATCAACAGAAATAATCCACCCAACCCATACTACAATTATAAGCTTCGTAGCTATTTAAAAAAAATGCTAGGGCTATGTTTTTTTATTGGAGGGCAAAATAGAACTATTCTTCAAATCGAACGACATTTATTGAAATTATGAATGAAGGGATGTAAAGGTCAGTTTCGTTCAATAACACTCATTTTTTAATTTGTAGATGAAACAAATTTTAGTTAGAAAATATTGCTTATATTCAGAACATTTATATTTTCTTCTATAATGTAAAGTAATTCCCAATCTTAATCATTTCATGGTAACATAAATTTAACTTTGTTAAAACAGTTTTTCATTTTATTTAAAAAAAAATGATCGGTAACGATTTACAATTAGACATTTGTGTATGTATGTGTTAAATTATTCAGTATTTTTTCTTTTACAAATTAAAACATGAAATTTGTATTCATTTTACTAAATTAGAAAAAGGTAAGAAATAATATATAAGTATGTATTAATGTAATTAAATGAATGTGCATTCAAGGCAATATTGAATAACATAAAACTTGTTAGAACATTTCAGCTATTTCGAGTTTTTAATGGTGATCGGAACGATACTGGTCGAGTTGGGAAAGCGTACTAAGTAACGTTGTAATCGTAAGAATTTTATGGATACCAAACGATTATCAAACCACCAGCCATTGATCTCGTTGTGAACAATACCAGCGTCTTTTTCACTTGCACAACGTATGTAAACACAACAGCTTTGGCGATCTAACTGAATGTCATATATTCTACATTGTGGTCCGACTTTTTCCAAAATCGATTCGATTATGTTTTGTTTTAAATCGGGCAAATTGGCCTCAGCCGCATCAAACATATGTCGTATTTTCAAACAGGGTGTGGGGGGATCAGATATTTTATTGACATTATCGAAAGCTGGACTCTGCCAATGTTTCTTCTTCAAACGTTGATCGGAATTATCCTGATGTAATGCTGATGTCGAGGACGGCGACGAGGAAGCAGATGACGTTGAAGTGGACAATATTGATTCTACCCACTTCATAGTTCGAAATTCTTCACCATTCTGTAGAATACATCCAAATTGTATGCGACTGTCGCTGGCTTCCAACTTTTGCAAAGCCTCATTCCAAGCCCAAAGTAGAGATTTACGCTTATTTAATGGTATTAACTTGTCTCTCAAGTGATTAACGATTATTTCGCCTTGAGTTTCGTCCTTAAGTGATGCACGATATATTAGTTCTTTTACAATTTCTTTGGTGAAATTTTCAACAGTTTTCAAACGGAATTGCCTGCGCTGATTCCAAAAGCGCCACATTACAAACACAGCACCCACCGAAAGCGCAACCAAGAATACACTGCCAATTATTAGGAAAAAGCGTTGCATTTTATTAAACAATATGCACTTTAAGGGCAAATACGGTTTAAGCAGGCCAAATTGTATATCTTGTTTATAAATATCAGGAAGTTGTTGGGGACCTTCGCTACGTCTACTGAGTATTTGAATTTTCCATTGCGGATTATGCTCGATCAGGTAAAGAGCAGCGTGAAAACTCTTTAGCAATTTATGGGCATCTGTGGTTCGTTTCTTATACAGGTATTTCATAAATTCAGTACCAGTCACTTCAGGGCTAACCGAGTGATCTCTACAGTAATGAGCTTCGATATTCGTCTGCAAAAGCTGTATGAGTTCCTTGTTCAAGGCAAGTGAAGGGCCTAACAACTCGTTGTCGATACAGTTGATAGAAGGTTTAGCTACTGACGACAAATCTTCGCACAATGTAAATGTCGTGCTCTTCTCTAACATAGTACTGGGCATATCGGGTGGTTTGGTCATGTACAATACTGCCAAGACTAGGAAGAATAGTCCCAAGCAGCTTATGAGTAGATATGGCACTGATGATTGTTTGAATTTGTTTTTAATATTGAGACGATTCCATATATTATCGCTAAATGTACGATTTGATCTTCTATTGAATGATGAAGAGTAACGGGTGGGACTCCCGCTGTCCGAATCAGAATCAGATAGATAAAAGTGGTTTGTTGTAGACGGAGTATATGGTGTATTAGTGTGGGATCTACCAATTGTTATGTTACGGAGTTTAAGTAAGCGGCTTACAACACCAGGCGTTTCCTTGCCATTCCTCAAAGGTGTCCTCTCTGGTTCTCGTGAAATGCGTGTGGTAGTATCAACTCGTGAGGCATTGTAGTGCGGTACATCGCTAGACATAATTGGAGGTGGGACATATATTTTTGGTGAAGTTTTTGGGCTAAGTTTACTAGCATATTTCGAGTTTGATGGAGAATTCGAGTAACTAGTATCATCCACTGTTAGATGAGAAGGCAATGGCCGATTGTTGGAATAATTGTCATAGTCCCTATTCAAGTACGACCTTCCCTCATTGGACAGATAGTAGTCTCTATTGCTGTTGCTGGAAACGGCAACTGTTGGGTGTTCTTGAATATTTTTGTTGACATTGTTGTTTGTATATGTTGCTGAAGAAACTGTTGCAGCAATTGTCTGGCGTCTAGAAGGAGAGGCGTTTGTTCGCCTACCTGGTGAAGAAGTCTGTTTCCTGGAACTATTTGTTGACGACTGCAAACTTCGTCTGTTAC